GAGTTGCAGTCTGTCTCCAGAGCCCAAGCTTTGACTGATGGTACGCACCCCTGTGTCCAGCAATCAAGATCTTGTTCTTGACTTCTCACTGAATCTGGGATACATTAGCTCTCTGCCTTTGCTCAATAGAGTGGCAGGCATGACTAGCCCAGTGGGAAGACCAGTCAGTACAGCCTGGCATAGTTGCTGCTGGCGAGGAATTGCAGTGTACCCTACTGGGAATATTCTTCCTCCAAGCCCCACCAGCTCCTCTGTTCCCAAACTCTGAGGCTGCTTTGCTCCCTTCCTGTTCTCTTCTGTAGAGATGGTGCTCTCTTGCCCATCCCATCTCCCCAGCCCCAGGGCTGCCTAGCAACCCCTTTGCTCTAGACCCTGCCCTGGCCAACCACCTTCCCCCTTCCAGGCACCAGTGACTTTCTTCGACTCCACGCCCATGGGCCGGGTTCTAAACCGCTTCTCCTCTGACGTGGCCTGTGCAGATGACAGTCTGCCCTTCCTCCTCAACATCCTGCTGGCCAACATGGCAGGTCTGCTGGGGCTCCTGTCTATGCTGGGCTATGGCCTGCCCTGGCTACTGCTACTGCTGCCACCCCTGAGCGTCATCTACCATCGCGTACAGCGCCACTACAGGGCCTCCTCCCGGGAGCTGCGGAGGCTGAGCAGCCTCACCCTGTCCCCACTCTACACCCACCTGGCCGACACCTTGGCTGGCCTCCCTGTGATCCGGGCAGCTGGGGCCACCTACAGGTGTGTCTGCCTCTGCCCAGAGCCTAGGGAGTGAAATGCTGGAGAGGAGGGAAGAAGAGGGACTCCAGAAAGAGAGGCCCTCTGGGGAGAGATTGTCTAGGCCTCAGAGGAGAATAGGAAGGGAGACCAGGGAATGAGAAAAAAAACAGAAGAGAGAGTAAGACAAGGTAGATCCCCTCAGGCGAGGCCTGTGGGTAGGAGGGAGGCAAGCCGTGGGGAAGGAACCTGGGTGGACCCCTGCATCAGCAAAAGTGGCCTTTATTTCCCTTCTGGCCCTCCCCAGGTTTGAGGAGGAGAACCAGCAACTCCTGGAGCTAAACCAAAGGTGCCAGTTTGCTTCCTATGCCACGATGCAGTGGCTGGACATTCGGTTGCAACTCATGGGGGCAGTGGTGGTCAGTGCCATCGCGGGCATCGCCCTGGTGCAGCACCAGCAAGGCCACACCAACCCAGGTGCTCCCCTGGGACCCTTCTGTTCTTACCCCAGATCTCTCCTTCCCTGAACTGCCCTTCATATTGTTACCTCCCATCCAGGGGCCCCGTGGGCATGTCCCATCTCTTCAGCTTGGAGGAGTGGCTTGTGCAGGGGGTGATCTGGGAATAGAACACATCTTCTGATCTTCCTCTCTTCCATAGCCCTGCCCTTGGCCCCTGCACTCTGTCCCCAGCTGGAGGCTTCCTCCTGTCCCACCCCAACCCCAATCCCCTGTCATCTTCCAGCTTATTCTAGATACCACCCACAGTCCACAGCTGGGATTCTGTGTTCTCCTCTCCTCTCCCCCTCCCCTATGTACCCCCTAGCCTCTGGTCCTCCTCTCCCCAGGACTGGTGGGCCTGTCCTTGTCATATGCCCTGTCCCTGACAGGCCTGCTCTCAGGCCTGGTGAGCAGCTTCACGCAGACAGAAACCATGCTGGTGAGCGTGGAGCGGCTGGAGGAGTACTCCTGTGACCTGCCCCAGGAGCCCCAAGGGCAGCTGCTACAGGTAGGCCTACACCCCTACCCTAGGCCTAGAGCTCCTGGGCCCCTGAAGGACCCTCCTGAAAGCTTCGGTCTCCTCAGCTTCTTTCCTTTTGCCCGTCATGACCTTTCTCTTAGCCGCTCCATTTGTTGGCCACCATTGCTTACCGTGTCCTCAACTTGTGTCCATCCTCCCGCCTCTCCCCATCCCCCACCTTTCCTCTCACACCCTCCATTTCCCATGAGTCCTCCTCCCACCCCTCTCCTCACCATCACACCTCACCCCACCTGTACCCCTCTATCTCCTACCCATGGACTCCACAGCAGGACGTTGGCTGGCTAACCCAAGGGAGTGTGGAATTCCAGGACGTGGTATTGGTGTACCGACCAGGGCTGCCCAATGCCCTGGACGGGGTGAGCTTCCGTGTGCAGCCTGGAGAGAAGCTGGGCATTGTGGGCCGCACGGGCTCCGGCAAGTCTTCCCTGTTTTCGGTGCTCTTCAGGCTGTTGGAGCCCACTGTGGGAAGAGTGCTACTAGACGGTGTGGACACCAGCCAGCTCCAGCTGGCAGAGCTCAGGTCTGGAAGTGGAAGGCCGCGAGAGGGAAGAGGGCAGGGGGATTTACTAGTACTTAAGAGTGCTTAGAGGAGTACTTACTTAGTACTTAGAGGACGCACAGCCAGGCTCGTCAGGACCAGTCAGGGGAGGTGGGACTGCTGGGGGAGGGAGGACAGCAAACTTCTATGCTGTGGCTCAGATTCATAGCTGGCCTCACCCTGACTCCTGCACCTCACAGCCTCATCATTCTTCCTATTTCCCTCCCTCTTTTTTTTGGGGGGGGGGGGTGGGGGGGACAGTCGTGGAGCTTGAACCCTGGGCCTGGGCGCTGATCCTCAGCTCTTCAGCTCAAGGCGATCACTTTATCACTTGAGCCACAATGCCACTTCCCCTTTTCTGGTGCTTTATTGAGGATAAGAGTCTACGGACTTTCCTTCCTGGGCTGGCTTTGAACTGAGATCCTCAGATCTCAGCTTCCTGAGTAGTTAGGATGACAGGCGTGAGCCACCAGCTCCCAGCCTCTCCCTCTTTCTTACTTTTGCAGTCTGAGCATTGAACCTGGGCCTTCTACCACTTGAGACACAACCCCAGACCCAGCTTCATTTTTTTTTTCATGTGCCAGTACTGAAGCTTGAACTCAAGGCCTGGGCACTGTCCCTTAGCTTTGATGCTCAAGAATGGCGCTCTACCACTTGAGCCACAGCTCCACTTTTTTTGGTGGTTAGTTGGAGAGAAGAGGTTTTTGTTTTGTTTTGTTTTGTTTTTTGGGTCCAATCGTGGGGCCTGAACTCTGGGCCTGGGTGCTGTCCCTAAGCTCTTCAGTCAAGGATAGCGCTCTACCACTTCAGCCACAGCGCCACCTCCGGCTTTTTTCTTTTTGCTTATATGATGCTGAGGAATCTAACCCAGGGCCTCAGGCATGCAAGGCAAGCAGTCTACCACTGAGCCACCTTCTCAGCCCAAGAAAAGAGTTTTATATCCTTTCCTGCCTGGCCTGGGTTCAAACTATGAGCCTCAGATCTCAGCCTCCTAAATAGCTAGGATTACAAGCATCAGTTACTGGCCCCTGGCTATTTTCTGTTTTTGTACCTCAAGATTTAGACTCCTTAAAGCTAGAGTTTTTGGTGTTACTCATTGGAGGTGTAGAAGGAAGAATGGGTCAGCTTTCTTCTTTAGCTGTCCCCAATACCCACCCTGCTGCTCCTATGGAGCGCATGGTACTGGCACAATTGTAGGTACATGCAGACAAACTGGTGATTTGGTGGAGATGGGTAGGAAACAGAAAGGGCCGTATTGGAGTCTCATCCCCAGACTCTCCTGCAAATCTTCATGCAGCTGAAACCTGCGTGGCGAGCAGGATGACATCTCCAGCCTGGCCTCCATGTCCTTGTCTCCTAGATCCCAGCTAGCCATCATCCCCCAGGAGCCTTTTTTGTTCAGTGGGACTGTTCGGGAAAACCTGGACCCCCGGGGCCTACACGAGGACGGGGCCTTGTGGCAGGCCCTGGAGCAGTGCCACCTGAGCGAGGTGATCGCCTGCATGGGTGAGTGGCAGGGCCTGACCTGGAGAACGGGAAAGGAGCAGAAGCGGCCGCCCGAGGCGAACATGCTCTGCCTTGCAGGTGGCCTGGATGGGGAGCTGGGCGAAGGGGGCCGGAGCTTGTCCCTGGGACAGAGGCAGCTGCTGTGTTTGGCCAGGGCTCTCCTCACAGACGCCAAGGTAAATAAGAGGACGAGTCACTGGAGAGGACTCGGAAGGAGGTAGACTGTGTCAGGGTAGGAGAGGGCTTGGCAAGAGGTTTCAGGAAAACGCTGGTGGTAGGGAGTCATAGGTAGGCCGGGCTGTAGCTTGCTTTGCCATCCCTTCTCCTCCCGCTCCATGGGTTCCAGGTCCTGTGTATTGATGAGGCCACAGCAAGCGTGGACCCGAAGACAGACCAGCTGCTCCAGCAGACGATCCGCAGACGCTTTGCCAATAAGACAGTGCTGACCATAGCGCACAGGTGTGCAAGTGCCAGAGTATGGGTCACCAAGGACTCTTTTGGGGAGCCCAGGGGTCAGGACCCGGAGCTCTCAGCTCCTGTATCCCCAGGCACAGCCCTGGGCCCCTTATCACATATTGTATTTGATTGTATGGGTTCCTCCCCCAACACGGAGCCCACAGACTGAAACCTATGAGGATAGAGCTGTGCAGTCTGGGGGAGTAGGGAGGGACAGCAGGTTTGTGACACTGCCCCTGTACCCCCACACTGACCACCTTCTACCACACAGGCTCAACACAATCCTGAACTCAGATCGGGTCCTGGTGCTACAAGCAGGGAGGGTCATGGAGCTGGACTCCCCCGCTGCCCTGTGCAGCCAGCCCCACTCACTGTTCCAGAAGCTTCTGCAGAGCAGCCAGCAGGGAGCCCACTCTGCTGGAGGGTCCTGAGCCAGGCTTCCTACTGAGATCCCCTCCATCTGCCCCCGGTCCTGCTGGCATCAACATGGGGCTGCGTGTTTACATCCTCTCCCCTGTGGCTCTACCTCTCCTTCCCCTCTGGGGAAAGGACACCTTGGATTCCTTGGTGGGCAGAGGGCCAAGGCTTCCCCAGGCCAGGCCCCGCCCTGGTCCTCTTCACCTAGGACTCTGGGCCCTTTTATTTTTGGCCTAAGATCCCACTTACATTTTCATAGTTTTATTTGATAAAATTCCTATCTTACATTCTGTGGATTAAAAAAATAATATTTCTGGTATGAGGCTGAAGTCGCCTCGGTGCGTCTCTCGAGTGGAGGGGTGGTGAGCAAGGACTGCTCCAGTCTGAGGTGTGGAGGAGGTGAGGAAGGGGGCCAGAAAGACCCCAGCCACGTCACAGTGCTGTGGTCTTTCCAGGCTCGGGGGCCAGGTCAGGTGGCAGGGGGAATCCCGCTGGAATCATGCTCACCTGGCACTCCTGGTCCTGCCGGGCTGGCGCATAGTGTGGGACTGGGTAGCAACAGGGTTCAAGGGGGCAGATGCCCCGGCGCCAGGCCCTCAGGGTCAACAACACAGTAGCCAGGACCAGGGCCGCCGTAAGGGCCCCAAACACCACCAAGGCTACCAGGCTAGACTCACCCAGCCCGGCTTCTTGCCTCCGTACCACCTCCTTCACTGAGATCCGCAGCAGGCCTGCCCCCGCGCTGTGCAGGGCCGGCCCCGTAGCAGGCACCACCATAGCCAAGGTGGGTCCTAGGGGGGTGTCCGTCATGGTGACAGGACCTGGGGCAGGTAAGACAAGCTCGCAAGTCTTGCCACCGTAGCCACTGGGGCAGAGGCAGTCGAAGTCATGGATGCGGTCCCGACAGCGAGCCCCTCTCTGGCATGGCTGGCTGGCACAGTCATCCAGGTTGATGGTGCAGAAGCGTCCAGCAAAGCCCTCGGGGCAGAGGCAGGAGAAGCGGTTTATGCCGTCCAGGCAGGTGGCGCCATTGGCACAAGGCCGCATCAGACAGTCGTCTACGTTCACCTCACAGCGGGCACCCACAAAGCCTGCCAAGCAGCGGCATGTGAAGTTGAGGGCAAAGCCCTGGTTGTCCTGGCACTGCCCGCCATTCTGGCATGGGGAGCTGTGGTAGAGGTGAGAGGACATTGGTACTGACATGCTGACAGGGCACAGAGGCCCGCTCAATGTCAGGCCTCAGTCCTGTGTGCTATTATCCTTATGAGCATTAAAGCCTAAAGCAGAGACGCCTCACCACCCACACCACAGCCTCAGGCAGGCTTCTGTGGGAGCAGGAGGGGGTCCTCCACTCCTGAACCTCCCCATACAAAGCCTCCCCAAACATGCTATCTGTGACATCTCCGGCTCCTATAGATGGTGGTTGAAGAAATGAGTCAAAAGGCATAAGCTGAGAAGCCTTGAACCAGGCACACTGGCACACTGGATTTTATCCTGAGGTGCCCTCATGTGGAGCCGACCCTCAGCCCTCCACCCTTGTCTACCTTACCCTCCTTCTTCCCTCATTCTGTCCAGATTCTGGTCTGACCTCTGCATGGGTCCCTCACTCACCCCGCCTGCTCACAGGGTCCGGCCTTGCGTTCGCAGTCATGCCCATGGAAGCCTGGCAGGCACACACAGTGGTACTCGCCGCCCCCATCATACACGCACTGGCCCCCATTCTGGCAGGGGGACTGTGAGGTACAGATGTGCTCATCTAGAAAAGAGACAAGGCTTTGGGATTGTGCCTCAGACCTGGCCCTCAGATCTTCCCCATGTCCCGTGTGGCCAAGCCTTCCAGGCCCAAGGTTCAGGGAGTGTTGGGTATCTTCCACCCCTGCCCATACCAAGCTAGTGTGGTGTAGTGGGGAAAGCTCACTGAAGCTGGAGGCAGGAGGTGCCTAGCCCTGGCTCAAGAAGTCTATCTCAAACTGTCTTTGGACAAGGTGCAGCACTTCTGTGGGACTCACTTTTCTCATCTGTAAAATGGGCACAATTTTTAGCAGCTGTAGCTCTAACTTCATGGGAGTATATTGAAGTTCAATTCAGACAACCAGTTATAAAATTTAAAAATAAAAGGAGCTGGGTACTGGTGGCTCACGCCTGTAATCCTAGCTACTCAGGAGGCTGAGATCTGAGAGTCATGGCTCAAAGCCAGCCCAGGCAGGAAAGTCCATGAGACGCGTATCTCTAATAAACCACCAGAAAACTGGAAGTGGTGCTGTGGCTCAAGGGGAAGAGCACTAGCCTTGAGCTGAATAGCTCTGGGACAGCGCCCAGGCCCAGAGTTCAACGACAAAAAGAAAAGAAAAAAAAAAAAGGAAGCAAATATATTTGAGGATCAGAGAAGGACACAGTATGCCTTCAGAATAAATACAGACAGATATTCTGAGACACGCAAGCTCCCCTCCCTGCCCCCTACCTTTGTCACAGAACTTGCCTGCCCAGCCACTCTGACAGATGCACTGCCAGGGCTGGTGGCAGGTACCGTGCTGGCAGCCCGGCATCCTCACACAGCGCTCACAGTGCAGCCCCTCCCAGCCTGGGTCACACCTGACAGAGATACAAGCACAGAGTCAGTGCCCTGGGAGGGGGTGGGAGGGGAAGCGAGGAAATAGAAATAGGCAGAGCCAGAGCTTCTAGAAAAGCTGGAGGACATAAGACAGCTTCTAAGGGAAAGCTGGCAGATACAGGATGGAATGAAGAACCAGACATCAGAGACCAGCATTCAAGGTCTGGGTCTGTTTTGGATGTAACCTTTCTGAGCCTTGATTTTCGCCACCTCAAAGGGTTTTGCTGAAGAAATAATGTCTATAAATACTTCCAGTAACAGGTGGCTCATGCCTGCTACTCAGGAGGGTAATATCGGAGGGTCACAGTTCAAAACCAGCTTGGGTAGGAAAGTCTGTGAGACTCTCATCTCCAATGAACCACCAAAGAGCTGGAAGTGTAGCTGTGGTTCAAGTGGTAGAATTCAAGCCTTAAGCAGAAAAAACTAAGGGACGGACAGTGCCTAAGCCATGAGTTCAAGCCCCAGTATACTCTCTCTCTCTCTCTCTCTCTCTCTCTCTCACACACACACACACACACACCACCACCACCACCACCACCACATGCCTCCAGTACCACTCCTAGTATGTCTGACACTCCAAATACATTTCCAAAAGGATAACCTTGAGAAGTCATCAGGACTGTTTTCCCACTTTTTTTTTTGTTGTTGTTTTGTTTTTTAAGCCATACTGGGGTTTGAAGTCAGAGTCTGCTGCTTGCTAGGCAGGCACTTCTATCATTGATCCACGCCTCTAGCCCTTGAACTGATTTTTGATTTTTTTTTTCCGGTTTTGGGGCCTGAACTCTAGGTCTGGACGCTGTCCCTCGTCCTTCAGCTCTTCAGCTCAAGGCTAGCGCTTTACCACTTGAGCCACAGCACCACTTCTAGCCTTTTCTGTTTATGTGGTGTTGAGCAATCGAACCCAGGGCCCCGTGCATGCAAGAAAAGCACTCTGCAATTGAGCCACCTTCCCAGCCCCTGAACTGGTTTTCTTTAAAAGCTCTCCAATGTTGAGTCTCCAACTCCTGGGCTGCGGAGCAACCTTCCCTGTCTGCTTGCTCCTTATGTCCCTGAGCTTTTTCTTCCAGACACAGACTATGCCCTCACCTCCACCCCACTGGCTCAAATTCATCAACCTAGGGCCTCTCTCCCTAAGGCCTTAATCTTCCCCTTGCCCCTTTCTTTCTGGCTCACCATCTCTCAACCTTCAAGTCTTTCCAGGTGTCATGAGGAGCCCTGGTCCAGACTGAAGGAAGGAGTAAAAGACTGGGAGGTATAAGCCAGAAGAAAGAGGCGAGGTGAAGCCAAAGGAAGTTGGGGGAGGAGGGCACAGCGTGCTCCCAGACACTCAGACCCGGGGTGCGCGCCGGTTGTAGGTGTGGAGTTCTGGGAAATCGAGGCACGTGCTCAGGACAGCTACCTGCAGGAGCCGTCAGGGGCGCAGCAGCCGTGGCCCAGGTCGCAGTGCAAGCTGCAGTCATCAGCTGCAAGAGATGGATGTGGTAAGAGTGAGTCGGGGGGGGGGGGAGAGAGTTCCGGAGGGGGGGTTTCCTGTGAGCGGGTGGGCTCTGTCCCATTCCCAAGGGACCGTCTGCCCCGCCCCCCCCCCCAGCCCCGCGGGTCGGAGCGCCTGCAGTGCCGTCTCTGGCCGGCAGAGGTCAACGTGCAGGCGAGGACCAGGAGGGCTGGCAGGACCAGGCTGGAGCCGGGGGCGCGCTCACCTCTGGCCGGCTGACCGGCTGCCCCGAGGATGCACAGCAGGCACACGACGTGCAGGCAGCGGCAGCCGCTGGGCATGGTCAGTTCCGGCCCCGGGGCGGGGGAGGGGGGGAACGGACGGACGGACAGCCGGATGTTGGAGACACCTGTGGGACAGCACGGGCTGGGAGGCTGCTGGACGCTTAGATAGCGGCGGGGCTGTGGGTTCCTTCCGAGGGACGACAGCCGAGCGGAGAGGAGGGACGCCGGGGCCGAAGGGGGCGGGGACGGGCCGAGCAGGCGCAGCGCTGGGAAGGGGGACCCCCGGGAGCCCGATCGACTGGGGAGCAGGCCAAGGATGGGCAGTGCCGCGCGTGGCCACGCACGGGAATGGCGAGCGCCGGGATCGCGGCGGGACGGAGGGGTCCGCGGGATGGAGCCGGCGCGGAGGGGCGGCTTCAGCCCGGAGGGGCGCGGGGCCGGGGGAGGGGGAGGACGGTTCCTGTCTCCCGGTTCCCCGCAGCGCAGCAAACGGACCCCAGGCTCCCTTCCCGCCTGGACCTGGGGGCCCGGACCCCCCCCCCCGAGCGCCCCCAGCGCCGCGCCCCTGCCCTGCTCCTCACCTCCGGCTGGAAGGCGATGCGCCCCGGGCCGCAGAGCCAGGCAGATCCGACGGCCTCCGCCGGGGGGGGGGGGGGAAGGGATGGGCACCGAGCGGGGGTGCGGGGCGGCCCCTAGCTGGCCCCGGGGCGCGGTGCAGAGGCGGCTGCCATGCCAGCCGCGCGCTCGGGAATCTGGGGCTCCGGGCGACCCCGAGCGGCGGTGGCAGCGGCGACTCCTCGCGCGCGCTCGGCCCCGTGCCAGGGGCGGCGTGTGCCGGCGGAACCCGCCTCTCCCCCCTCCCGGCGGCCCGGCCCGCCCCGCGCCCGCCCCGCGCCCTCCCCGCCCGCGCCCACCCCCGCCACGCGCCCCACACCTCGCCGCTCACCTCCCCGCTGCCACCCGGCAGCCCAACCCGGCTTTCTTCACCGCCAGGAGGAGATCAGGGGGGTCCGAATGCGCGCCCGGCCGTTCTCCCACCTCGCACGCCCCCCGCCCCCCGTTTTCCTGGCTCCCCACACCCACGCCGCACCTCACGGCCGCTGCCCGTCACGACTGTCATGTATATGCAGATATGTGTATAGATGTGCGTGCGTGTGTGTGCGTGTGTGTGTGCGTGTGTGTGTGTGCGCGCGTGTGTGTATCTCCAGCATATTCGCTCCCGCCCCCCTCCTGTCACCAGCCCGCCCCCCTCCCCTCCCCCCAGCATTAAGAGCCCTCAGCAGTGGCTCCCCTCACCCTCCCTCCGCTTCGGTCCCTCGTCATCACCGTGGAGAGCCTTCCAGGATTAGCCGAGCCTATTGAATGTCAGCCAGTCCACCCCTCCAGCCTTTCTTCTCAATCTCTTGTCAGACCACCTCTGGGACGCCTCCCCCCAGCGATCAACATCCGACTGCCTGTGACTGACGGTGCCTCTGAACCCCATCACACTCGTGCCTGGGTGGTTACCACCCACTGTCCCAGCCCAGAGCTCAGACTCCGAGTTTTGGGTAGGGAGATGGGAAGGTTGCCCATCAGGCCTCCAACTCCTCTCCGCCCAGAGCGTAGACACAACGAGCAGACAATGATCCAAACAAGTTTCTTGTTTGTATAGAGCAAGCTCTGAGGCAAGGAAGGCTGCTGCCTCCCACCTCTTAGACCTTCAAATAAAAAATTTGCCATCATGGGGTGGAGGCGTGGCTCAGTTGGTAGAGTGCCAGCCAGTGAGCAAAAGCATCAGGTAACCAAGTTCAAATCCTGGTCTTAGAGCTCATTTGCCATCTTGAAGTTCAAAACATTAGAAGAAGGAATTGCTAGCAGCTCAGAGCTGCTTCTTGCACACATCCGGGCTGGGTCAGAGCCCCTGGGCTACCTTACCCTGAGCAATCTCTCTGATGGACATAACACCCACACACACCCCGCTCACCAGCAGACTTCCTTGTGACTCTAATTCCCTCTTCTGTGAAGAGCTTTCTGAGTTTAAATAATGACATGCCACCCTCATTTATTTTTATCTAAAATTATTTTATTTTATTTTTTTGTCCATAGTGGGGCTTGAACACAGGGTCTGGGCACTGACTCTGGGCTTTTGTGCTCAAGGCTAGTGCTCTACTACTTTGAGCCATAGCTCCGATTTCAGTTTCCTGGTGATTAACTGGAGAGAAGAGTCTCAAGGCCTTTTCAGCCTGGGCTGTCTTGGAATCACCTTCAGATCTCAGCCTCCTGAGTAGCTAGGATTACAGGCGTGAGCCACTGGTGCTTGGCTTGTTCTAAAAGTTTTTCAAAAAAAAAATAAATAAAAGTTTTTCAGTGAAGAATTGCACATCCATTTGTCAAAAAGTTACTATAAGGTGATCAAATGCAGCAGTGGTACTTACTGGACACTATATTGAAAATGAACAATAAAATTTGTGAGTGGTGACAGAAGGGAATATCTGGGAGAAAGCAAGGGCAAGTATGACATTGTCCAAAAAGAAATGTACTCATTACTTGACTTATATAACTGTAACCCCTCTGTACAACACCTTTATAACAACTAAAAAAGAGTTACTGAAGATGCTGGGTGCTGATGGCCCTCACCTGTAATCGGAGCTACTTAAGAGGCTGAGATCTAAGGATTACAACTCAAAACCAGCCTGAGCAGGAAAGCCTACAAGACTCTTGTCTCCAATCAGCCAGCAAAAAACCAGAAGTGGAGCTGTGATTAAAGTGGGAGTAAGCTATTCTTGAGCAAAAAACTCGGCAAGAACATCAAGCCCCCTGCCAAAAAAAAAAAAAGAGTATAATTTTAATAGTCATATGATTATTCCATGAAGGCACATTATATGTTATTTAACCTAGTCCTAATTTATTTTTTTTCTTTTCTTTCTTTCTTTTGTGTGTGTGTGTGTGTGTGTGTGTGTGTGTGTGTGTGTGAGCCAGTCCTGGGGCTTGAACTTAGGGCCTGGGTACTATCCCTGAGCACACTCAAGGCTAGTGCTGTACTATTTTGAACCACAGCACCATTTCAAGCTTTTTGGTAGTTAATTGGAGATAAGAGCCTCACGGAGTTGGGTGTTGATGGCTCACACCTGTAACTAATTACTCACGATGCTGAGATCCTAGGATCAAGGTACAGAGTCAGCCTGGCCAGTAAAGTCTGTGGGACTCTTTATTTTTTTTAACTTTATTTATTTGTTAGTTGTGGGGCCTGAACTCTGGGCCTGGGCTCTATGCCTCATTAGTTCAGCTCAAGGCTCTACCACTTGAGTCATAGCATTAGTTCTGACTTTTTCTGCTTATGTGGTGCTGAGGAATTGAATCCAGGGCCTCATGCATGCAAAGCAAGCACTGCCACTTCCCAGCCCCTCTTGAGATTCTTACCTCTAATTAACCACCAGAAAAGTGGAAGTGAAGCCCTGGCTCAAAGTGGTACAGGGCTAGCCTTGAGTGAAAGAGCTCAGGGACAGTGCCCAGGCCTTGAGTTCAGGATCCATGATCAACAACAACAACAAAAAAGTTTCATGGATTTTCCCACCTGGGCTACTCTTGAACAGCAATCATCAGATCTCAGCCTTTTGGGTAACTAGGATTAAAGGACACCCAAAACTAATTTCTTTTTTATTCTTCTTATTTGAAGGGGGCTCAGAGATAGAGTGCTTGTCTTGCATGCATGAGGTCATGGGTTCGATTCCTCAGCACCACATAAGTTAAAAAAAAAAAAGCCAGAAGTGGGCGCTGTGGCTCAAGTGGTAGAGCGCTAGCCTTGAGCTGGAGCTGAGGGACAGTGCCCAGGCCCAGAGTTCAGGCCCCAGGACTGACAAAAAGAAAGAAAGAAAGAAAGAAAGAAAGAAAGAAAGAAAGAAAGAAAGAAAGAAAGAAAGGAAGAAAGAAAGAAAGAAAGAAAGAAAGAAAGAAAGAAAGAAAGAAAGAAAGAAGGAACATTTTGTAGGTCTCTAAAAATGCTGTAGGCTATACTTAGTGTGGCTAAGTGTGCTCTTATTTATTGATCCTGCTTCCTTTTCCTATTCCTTACCCCATCTCTTTCTCCCTTCCTCCTCACCTAGCCTGCATTCCATTATCTATCTTTATTTTTTTTTGGGGGGGGGGTCGGTTGTAGGGTTTGAACTCTGGGGCCTGCCTGCTGTCCCTGAGCTCTTCAGCTCAAGGTGAGCACTCTACCACTTGAGCCACAGCGCCACTTCCAGTTTTCTGGTGGTTTATTGGAGATAAGAGTCTCATGGACTTCCCTGCCCCAGCTGGCTTTGAACCGTGATCCTCAGATCTCAGCCTCCTGAGTAGCTAGGATTACAAGCGTTAGCCACCAGCTCCTAGCTCATACATTATCTATCATTATAGTCAGTCCTTAGCCCTCTGGCTACTCTCTCCTTCAGTTGTATTCATCTGGCAAAACCTCGTCACTGTCACTTTCCAGCCCTCATCTAAACAACTGAGCATGGTGGGAAATAATGCACCCTCAAGCTGTCCATTCTTCCTTGACCTCCCTTTCCTTAGTTCTGTAGTCTTTCCTATCCACCCCAATAGCTTTTTTTTGCCCCTCTGTCCTCCAGCCTCCAGCCTCCAGCCTCTCCTCCTTTCTGCTCACTGTGCTGTTGATCTTGCTTCCAGCTTCACAGAGAAAATAGAAGCAGCCAGAAGAGAATTTCCACCTGCTTCTACTGCCTACAGGCATCTGTCTCCTATACTGTCATCCCTCTGTTACTATAGATGGACTGCCTGTGTTCTTACCAAGCAGAGCCTCCCATCTGGGTATCAGTTCCTTTCCCTTCTCACGGTGGAACTGCAGGGCCCTGCCAGCTCCTCCCCCTCCCCTCTCCATTATCAGTTGGATCATTTTTATGGCAGCCTTTCATCAACCTTTCCCCATCTTTAAATAATCACCCTCAATCCTGATTCTTTTCCAATTACACTTTTCTGTTCCCTTTTACTGAAACCTCTAAAAAAAAAAAAAAAAAAAATATATATATATATATATATATATATATATGTATATATATTTGGGGGGGGGTCCTGGTCGTGGGGCCTGAACTCTGGGCCTGGGCACTGTCCCTCAGCTATTCAGCTCAGGGCTAGCGCTCTACCACTTGAGCCACAGCGCCATTTCTGGCTTTTTTATTTTTTTGGCTTATGTGGTGCTGAGGAATCAAACCCAGGGCCTTATGCATGCAAGGCAAGGCAAGCGCTCTACCGCTGAGCCACCTTCCCAGCCCCTCTAAAAATTATTGTCTCATATGTTATCTCTTCCCCATCTTCTCATGTTCTTAGTCCATCAGTCTAGAATTACTCACATCAAAGTCATTGGTTCCAGGCTAGAAAGGTAGCTCAGTGGTAGAGTGCTTTCCTTGTACACATGAGGCCCTGGGTTCGATTCCTCAGCACCACATAAGCAGAAAAAGCCAGAAGTGGTGCTGTGGCTCAAGTGGTAGAGCGCTAGCCTTGAGCTGAAGAGCTGAGGGACAGTGCCCAGGCCCAGAGTTCAAACCCCACGACCAGTGACAACAAAAAGTCATCGGGCCCATCACTGCCTAGCCCAAGGATCAAGTCTGGACTTCTCTCTGACTCTGACACCTGC